AATTCACTTTTGGGTGCTTGTTTTCGGTGAAATGCAGAATTTCTTCAGATTTCTGAAGATTTCTATGATTTGCCGAAGACTGCAGTGTGTATTTGAACTTCAAACGACCTTGAAGTCAAGGTTGTGATTTTCAAGGTCATGTCAAGATACACACCCTACAACCTTTGTATGAAACATATTTTTAAAGAAGTGATCCCAACAAGTTAGTCCGTTGTCTCAAGATTCTTGCTTTTTTTTTGTTTTTTAAGGCCATTTTATGGCCAAAATATGGGTTAAACCGAAAAAATAATATAAAAATTTTTTTTTTCGTTTTTCAATCGAAATCCGGGGTAAAAAATGGGTTTTTCCATAAAAAAAGCAACTTCCGGTCTAAAAAAACCTTCCGATCTAAACCGGAAGTCGTAATATGGATCTTTCAATGTCCCCCTCGATCCCCTATAATTTTTGTCCGAAACTTTTTTCGAAATAATCGAATTCAACCGAGATATTACATATTTTGTTTCAAGATGCTCCACCTGGTATAATGGTAATAACATTGTTAGTCAAGCTGCCATTTTGGCAACGCTTTTGCAAACTATTTTGTCTGTTTGTTTGACTTTCACTCCTTTTTTGATATTCATCCGCAATTGTATATATTTTTTTAAAAAAATTAATTGTTTGTATTGCGTCCTTTTTTAATTCTGCTTTATTATTTATTTATACGCATATTGTTATTTTTACTTTTTTTCATTGACAACTGTATTCTTTTAATGTAACTTATAGTTTGTATTTTTGTTACTTTTGTTAATTAATTATACCAGACGACATTTTAGTATTCAAACGGTATGGGTTTAAATCACCTGTAAAACTTATTCTGATAGAAACTGGAAGAAACAAAATTCATTCGTTTGTTACACAAGTTAAAAGTGACACTTTAATGAATAACAGACTAAGCTCTTGAAAAATCTAATTTCAGAATCTTTCTTTCCTTAAAGATGCGAAGGTATAAATCATGCCAATCTGCATTACGTCACTCAAATAGAAAAATCAGGAATTAAAAATACTGTTCTCAAAACTTTTGATATAAAATACAGTGTCATTAAAACTTTTCCTTTTAAATTGAAATAATATTTATCAAATAGAAAGCAAATAGCATGTGTCAACAACTGTTTTTCTGATACTGGTTTGGTTAAAAACGGAGTGCCTCAAATAGCCGTTCTGGGGCCTCATCTATTCATCATATTTCATAATTTACTACAAAATACATATGTTGCTTTCGCAGATGACACCACTTTGTTAAATTCAGATAGTGACATAATAAAAATATAGAACTGATCTTCGAAGCGAAAGAATGGTTTATATTGAACAAATTAAAAATAAAAATCTGTTGTTTACTACTAATAGAAATATCTATAGAGAAATTCGGCAAAAATTCTTGGCATCATTGTCGATGATTGGCTAAATTGGTATGCTTATGTTGAGGAAATTAAGACAATACATGAATTTGTGCAGACTGCATTTGATGCTAATTATCTAAATTTTTTATTATTTACGACATTTATAGATGCTCATCTCTTTAAGATTGTTAGTTGAATGTGTTTTTTTTGTGATTCTGTGTTTTATACAATTACATTATAGAGAATATTACATAGGGTGTCCTACTAAGGTCGGGTAGGTATGACATTAGGAAAAGTATAGGCCCTAGAACTTTGGGAAAAAAAATTGAGTAATAAATCAACCAAGAGAAATTGCTGGAAATAGTTTTCAAGTTCGTAGCTGTATTATAGAAGAGTTAGACAACTGAATGGCTATCGTTGAACCTACGACGTCGTGTGTTGCGACCACGAAATGGGGCGGTTATAAAACTAGTGACCCGCCGTCGAAACCAAAAACACAGAAGCGGCAATATTCAGCTCTGGCCTCGCGGCGGCCCGTCCCAATAAATATCGTTTAGCAACAATATTTATCAATCCGAACACGACTTCGGCTGCGAATAGCACAGGGCCGAGACGCTGTGCCCTCCTCCGGGGGCGGCCTGGCAACCGTGGGGGCGGCAGATGCGGGGATTGATCTCCACCATAGGCGCCCCCCAACGAGAGGACACATTTTCACCTCTAGACCTAAGTAACACTATGCCTTAATAACTCCATTGTATTGTGTAGTTTTTTCTTTGTCCCTTTCAGGTAAACAGAGTTTTGTTCGAGCAAAAACGGAAAATTAGATCCCTTTCAAGGTGCTAGTGTAAAAATAGATGTGATAGGTTAATTAAGACGGCCATGGAAGGGTGTTTGGTTACACGAGAAGTGGAGGATAATGAAAATTTTTTGGACTAATGACTTGGATAATAGTGGCTGATTAGATAACAAGACGAAAAATAGCACCTTGCTGACAGAGTGTTTCTGAAAGTCTACAGAAATATCTTGATGGATAAAGAAAGTGAACTACAGAATTGGTCGTGAAGACATTTTAAGGTCATCGCTGATAGTATATCAACACGAAAAAGAACACCTTGCAGAGATAGCAGTTTTCAAAACTCTATCAGATCATGCTGAAGACAAAAAAAATTGAACAGGAACAACTTGCTGAAGAAGAGTATCCAAAAATTTACTGAAAAGCAAAAAAATTCACATATCTTGGACATATTTAAGCCATCGAATGGTTGCTCGGATAACAAAAGACAAAAGAACACCTTACCAAAATGGTGTTTCTAAAATATTATTTAATCTGATGAACGACATCTGTCTTGTAGTTAACGCAAATATTGATCATAAAACCAGGCGAAAAAGAATATCTTACTGAAATAAAACCAAAACCTCTAAAATTTTACAGAATTTGACTGAATGACAAAAGAAATTAAATAAGTCGAAGTTATCGAATTGTTGATTATCCAGCCAAAACAAAAAAGAACACTTTGCTGAAACAGAGTGCAAAACTTCATAGAACTGAATTGAAGGTACAATAGATTAAACAGAATCAGGCTTAAAGATATCTTGAAGTTGTGACTGATCATTTTGCAAGACAAAAAAGACACCTCGATGAAACAGTCTATAAAAATTGGATAAAAGAAAAAATCCAACAGAATCGGTCTTAGAGGTATTCTTGTAACCAATTTGTGATTTGATCACAAAAGAACAAAACGAACACCTTCCTGAAACAGTTTCTAAAACTGCATGGAAGACTAAAAAAATTAAACAGATCTTGAAGACATTTTCGCGTGACTGATCATATAACAAGAAGGAAAAGAACATCTTGTTTAAGAACTGGAACTAAAACTAGAATTATAATGAAGGACAAAGAAATGGGCAGGACTGATGTTGAAGACATTTTGAATTATCGAGCGTTTGATCATGTAAAAAGGCAAAAAGAACACCTTGCCCCAAAACTATAAAATTATATTGAAATCCAAAAACATTTAACAAGGTTGGTATTCAATATACGTATTTTTAAGTCTCCAAATTGAATAGTCTCCAAAACTATATACAACTATTCTGAAGGACAAAGAATCTGAAATCGAATCGGTCTTCGAATTGTCGCCGATCATATGAAAAGACGAAAAAGAACACCTTGCTGAAAAGGCTCTAAAACTTTATAAAACTATTTCAAAGAAAGAAAGGAATCGGTTTTAAAATCACCTTGGTATCAACCAAAAAGAAACAACTCTAGAAATAGAGTCTCCAAAAGTTTATAGAACTACAGGGTGTGATTTAATCATAATGTCATTAATTTTAAGGGAAGGGGTCATTAACCTAGTTATTAGTGCGTTTTTAATGACTACTGTATGACAAGAAATAAACACATCCTTTTACCTAAACACATGAATGAATAAAATATGTTTTTACATTTTAAATAATAACAAGTATTGTTTGTTTCATAATAAAGACAAATGTATAAGGATAATAATAAGGATAATAATTATTTCCGAAAGTTAATATTTTTAATATTGTTAACGTTTCCACTATGTTTTATAGTTGAATGTGAGTCCTTAGTATTGTTAATTAATTATTCAATTTGTATAGGTATGTATACCTACTGACTTATTGCTTTTTGAAGGGTAGTATGATACCTACCAATTTAAAATGCCAGTACGTCTAAAACAACACTCACCCGTCCATTGTTAGTAAAGTTGGAAATCACTGCACTTTGATTTTGAAACCAGTTGCAAAATTCAAGACGGCCGAGGAAATCAGCTGTTTCGCTTCAACGATTGAATGCTCTGTAGCCCGTTCCCAGTCAGAAGGATAATTTGCTTATCTTTTAAAAGGTCGAGTTAATCTTTTTTTTTCTGCCTATATAAAGACTTCCCAATACGTGGTTAAAATTAATTATATTCTGGCTGAATCAACCTGTATATGGAACGGAAAAAACATTAAACAGGATCAAGCTTGGAGACATCTTGATGTCTTGAAGTCATCGACTACGATTTGTAATGGCGATCGGCCATTTTCAGACAAATTGCCTTGCAAATTTTCTACACATTATACACAAAATATTATAATTTTTTACATTTAGCCGAAAACTTTTTTAGGGACGCCTATGAAACTCGTTAAATTTTATTGCTAGGCGTTTTTATACATGTTCAACTGACTTCGCAAAGACTATAACCTTCTGTTTTAAAACAAGCCGGTCGGGAACCCTCGAACCTCACGCAGCGCAATCCTGAGGGCGCGGCGACCGAAAAAAAAAAGAATTAAAATTCTCGACCGCCTTAATCTGTTGACGCCGTTACGGAATGATTCAATTTTCGCCCGCCCCAAATCTAATACTGACGCAAAGTGAGCGGAATAAGAGGCGAAAGGACAGAGATCCTACGTGTCGGATTAATAAATTTGGACCATAAATACTTCCGGTTCGATGCGGAACCGCGCGACGGAACAGTGGCCGATCTGTAATTGCATTCGCTAAGGGCGTCGCGACGGCGAATTCGAAACGGACGCTATTTTTAATAATTCAGTGGCGAGAGACCGACAAGGGTTTCGTCGTTAACAGAACTACCGAAGAGACGAGGAAAATATCCCACTTACCTTAACCAATGGCGTTTGGTAATAGCTGTGTGGCAGCAAATAGCATCGTACTGATCGGCCATCCAAACTATTAGGATTATGTAGAAAGCGGTTGTGGTGTCATTGAAGAATTCTGACATGATGGCTTCCATGCCTAAAACAAAAAGGACAGCGAAATGAAAAACAAATTCATTTAAAAGCTTAGCGACGGTTTGATGAAAACTGAAATGTTACTACAAATAATTGGCGCACTATAATCTAAATCAACCTAAATTGGACAAAAGTCTGTAGCGGCTCATAGAATAGGGCTACGGAAAATAACACAGCCCCACAAAAAAAAAAGTGGCAGGTCCGAAAGACAAGACCATGGTTTACATATGGTTTTGGGGTAACTGAATCCGAATCCGGTGTCCGTTTGACACGATTAGCTCTGGTTTGAGGTCAGTTCAAGGTCAAATATAGAAAATCAATTGTCAACAAACTAAGCCTATGTATCTATACGTTTTTGGGGTCGCTGTCGGTGTCGGTTTGACACGATTAGCTCTGGTTTAAGGTCAGTTCAAGGTCAAATATAAAAAATCAATTGTCAACAAACTATACCTATGTATCTACACGTTTTTTGGGATCGCCGAATCCGAATCCGGTGGCGGTTTGACGCGATTAGCTCTGGTTTAAGGTTAGTTCAAGGTCAAATGTAGAAAATCAATTGTCAACAAACTAAACCTATGTATCTATACGTTTTTGGAGTCGCCGAATCCGAATCCGGTGTTCGTTTGACTCGATCAGATCTAGTTTAAGTTCNGTTGCTTGAATCTGATGAAAAGCATTACACAGCCCCACAAAAAAAAAGTGGTAGGTCCGAAAGACAAGACCATGGTATACATATGGTTTTGGGCTAACTGAATCCGAATCCGGAGTCCGTTTGACACGATTAGCTCTGGTTTGAGGTCAGTTCAAGGTCAAATATAGAAAATTAATTGTCAACAAACTAAACCTATGTATCTATACGTTTTTGGGGTCGCTGTCGGTGTCGGTTTGACACGATTAGCTCTGGTTTAAGGTCAGTTCAAGGTCAAATATAAAAAATCAATTGTCAACAAACTATACCTATGTATCTACACGTTTTTTGGGATCGCCGAATCCGAATCCGGTGGCGGTTTGACGCGATTAGCTCTGGTTTAAGGTTAGTTCAAGGTCAAATGCAGAAAATCAATTGTCAACAAACTAAACCTATGTATCTATACGTTTTTGGAGTCGCCGAATCCGAATCCGGTGTTCGTTTGACTCGATCAGATCTAGTTTAAGTTCAGTTCAAGGTCAAATGTAAAGCCATGTATGTTGTTCGTATTTCATCCTATGTACTCGTAAGACTATCTTCAAAATATGGCACTCTTGTTTCAATGTATGTTAGGTTTATAACATCCATGTTGAAGTGACTTATCCAACAATATCATTGTAGTAACCTAAGGAAAATTCTTCATCGTTAGAAAAATATTCCTTATTTCTGTACTGATAGTAAAAAGCTTTCACTTTTCCGGCTTGCTTAGTATTTTGTTTAGCCATGATATTAAAATTTCGAATATCATTTTGTGATATTTGCGATATTGTTCCTGTCTTTTTCACAACGTGATATGGAATATATTCGACATCACTAGTGTCACTAGCAATATCAGTGATAGTTTCATTGCCACCCAAATTTCTCCCTTCTTTAATATCTTGGTGAAGATACGTAGGTTTAATTTGTTGACAATTGATTTTCTACATTTGACCTTGAACTGACCTTAAACCAGAGCTAATCGCGTCAAACAAACACCGGATTCGGATTCGGCGACCCCAAAACCATATGGATATCACGGTCTTGTCTTTCGTACCTGCCACTTTTTTTTTTGTGGGGCTGTGAATCAGGACGATTTTTGAAGGTCTGAAGATGTACTTAATAAAATAACGACGAAATGGTTCCTATATGCGAAATCCTTTCAAAATCCCGCTAAAACCATGTTTTTTTTCAAATTTTTTTATTATTTCTCCTTAACAATAATTGTAAAGGAAATTAGGACAAAAATTTATCACAGATATTAAAGTAGAGAAAAAACCTTCAATTTGGTTTTTTAAAGTAGTTTCTAGGTGCGATAGAATCCAAGTTACAACCATTTTAAGTTGAGAGTCTTCCCAAAAGCAAGATTATAACATTTTTGACTTGTTTCTCTTCAGGATTTAGTGAAAAGGGTACCAGGGTAATATTACATTGTAGGTTATTAAATTAAAGTAATTTGTTTTTTTTTGGAGAGGCTTCCAAGTGCTGTAGAATCAGGTTTACAGCGATTTTAAGCTAAAGCAGCGAAATTGCGCAAAATGACCGTTCCCGGATTTGACACCTTGAAAATTTAAAAATCTTAAATGTCATAACTTCGCTTCCAAAGCGCCTAGGCGCTTCTTCCATAGCTCAAATTAAAGCTCATCCGCAAAAAATTGCATTTAGTCGCTTGACCTTATAAATTTAAAAAATTTGCCTAAGGCGCTTTTCTTTCTTTCTTGTCCACCTAAGTAAAAAAGCCACGGACTTCACCTATTGACAATGTCACGAGCCGCCACTGGCAGAGTATTCTGTTGCAGAAGCTAATGGTGCAACTTTTCGCGACATTTTATTCAATCAATCGATGATCGCATAGCTCGAGCGTAGCTGCAACGGTTTCTCATTGTTCATTGTAAACGAACCATTACAACTGATAACGGAATTTTTAGTTGACTGTGCCAAGCGTACAATGTTGGTTGCCTATACTCGACGACGGTCACGTGGTTTATAATTATCTACGAAGGCTGTATATTTCACATATTAGCCTCAACATACAACAATATGGAGTTTTATGAGGCTCGTGAGGGATATTTGAAAACCAAATATTCTATCAAAGCGAATTAACAGTATTAGAAATCTACTTAATTACCTTAGAAAGAAACAATTTGAACTACACCACTGGATAATCTGATATATAGACATAATATAGAAATAGACAATCCCCTCGTGAAGCTACATTGCTAATACTCCAAGATCATCAGCAAAAAGTAGCTTTGGAAGAGTAATGTTGAAACAATTTAAACTACACCACTGGATAATCTGATTTATAAACATACTGTAGAAGTAGACAATCCTCTCGTGAAGCTACATTGCTAATACTCCAAGATCATCAGCAAAAAGTAGCTTTGGAAGAGTAATGTTGGTTACAAGGTCATTTATGAGTTATGGAATAGAAGAGGGCCCGAATTTGAGCCTTGTGGTACACAAAATTGACATATTCTATGGATCCTGTACCTTTATATTCAATAATTCTCCCCTGCCCAATAAGTAAGATGCAATATTTAAAATCCTGATATAAAATGGTCGATTTGCAGCCCCTTCAATATATTGTTCCTGTGCGTTAATTCTGCCGAGTATTTATGTTTAAAATGGAACGGAATAAGGTAAAATTAATACGATAACACACCCCTCGGACAAATTCCCATGAAACATCATCGCAACTTTCTGCATGCGATGGCATAGAACGCTTTTGAGGTACGCGATACAAACAGGGTGGCCCAGCGAAAACGAAACGGAGCGAATAAATCTCAGGAAAATTGTTTTTCCGAAAAACGCCATGGATTTGGAGAAAAGGCGTCATAGAGTGGCCTGCGCGATCGCCGGATTTGTCTCCTTTGGAGTTTTTCCTGTGGGGTCACTTAAAGGAGCAAAATTTATTTCACTCCACCTACTTCCCTTCAAGGTTTCCGACAATGCATTATCAACGAATGCCAAGTTACTCCAGAAATGTTACAAAATGTGCGTCAACGCTTTTTACAAAACTTGTATTACTGTATGGAGGCTGGAGCTCATCAATTTGAACACTTAATTGGCCGGCATGTAGGAATTTGCAAATAAATTTGTAAAAAGTTGTTTTTTCTATTAACCACCTGTATCTCGTGATTAATAGGTCAAATTCAAAAAATAAAACAGTTGTGTAGAGAATTAGAATTTCTTTCAAACGTATCACTTAACCTTACTTTCCTATTAAGATTTTTGGGGGGTTGCTCCCCTCTTTGGGGGGGTTTCCCTCTCTCTAGGAGGTAGAGTCTATAACAAGAAATTTATGTGAAAAGATGTCCATCTTCGATCGATCAAAAATCGACCTGTCTCCGTGCTTTTCGAAAACATAATTTTCCTGACAGCTACTCGCTCTGTTTCGTTTCCGCTGGGACACCCTGTATACTTAGGTATGGCAAATAGAAAAATAAAAACGTTTTCAGATTATTTTATAGCCTTTTACAGCCTCCTAAGCGAACGTTTGTGAAAATGCGTTATTAAAAATACATAAAGTATAAAAGCATCGTAAATGTATTGAATAAAGACCCACAAGGCATCCGGTGTAAGCCGTATCGTTCTATGGCTCCGTTTTTCGGCGTATGTGGCGCGTGATACACTGCGTTATCTTTGTGTTCGAATGTAATTAAGTGAGTGATATTCTAGGGGGATTTCTAGGCATCTCAATTGTTTGTTGTGTGTAGGAAACAGTTGAGAAGTAAATAATACATACTAAATTGATTATGTCTCGAAGAAAGCAAAATTATTCAAATAAATATCTCTACAATCACCGAAATTATCAATAAAAATCATTTTTTAACTTTGTCACCCTCTATTTTGAATATGGGGCTCCGAAATGAAGTGTCATAAAAAAAGTCCCACCATTTTAGTCCAAATAATATGTGGTTAACGGGTTGACCTACTAATTTGTAACACCCTGTATAATTGGACAAAAATTCAACATACAGGGTAGGAAAGTACCGATGGTCTATCTGAAGTTACGTGAGAGCGATAAAGTAAGCCAGAGAAATCCATGTGATAGACAAGGATGGGTATATTGAAGGCGTCTAATAGTCACCGCCCATTTCGCCTTTCCACAAATAAGAAGTGGTCCTCAACTAAAATAATGGCATCCACGTACCACTTCCGGTTATACAGGAAGTCGCCATCAACTTGCTTATTTTAAATAGAACACCCTATATATTATTGCAATTTTGGATTCTACGTGTTATTTTAAGTGGACTAATATGAAGTTTTCCTATTCCTAAAATTAACCGTTTTCGAGATATTTCATTTTTTTCAAAAAAAAAAAAAATGGAGAGAAA